ACGAGATGAGATGTGGTTGTGGAGGCATTTGGGGAATAAATAGGAGGGCTGAGGGCACAAGTTTAGTAAGCCAGGGAAGGGCCTATGTGACAAATAATGAAAACTCTAGGCCGGTCTGAGAGTCTTGGAGGCAGTGGGGGATGAGAAGGGACAGGCGACACTAACTGACCATCAAGGGAAGAACCCCTAAGGTCACAAGGATCACAGGGAGCAGAAGAAATTGAGCTCCTAAGTGGCTGGGCCTCCTCAGCTGGCAGAGGCAGGACCCCCACACCCACTGCCATGGCTTAGGTTAGGAAGTCAGAAGGCTCAGCCCTGATCCCAGCTCAATAGGTCCTCAACCTCCCACCACCCTCCACTGCTGCGAGGCCGGCTTCTCGGGCGGGGCTCCCCTCCATGGCAGCCCCTGCCCACGGGTAAAGCCCAGAGCTCAGGCCCCAGTGTCTACAAGCCCAGCTCTGTCCTACTGGGTTTCAGCTGTGCCAGGAGTGGCATCAGGTTCCGAGACCTAGGCACACACCTCAATCGCAGGGGCTTCTCCTTGGCCCAGAGGGGTCAGACAAGAGGTCCCCGGCAAGGCTGGTACCAGCAGTGAGTGGTTAGCCCTCCTGCCTGGATAGAGGGGAAATGAGGAGCCCTTTGGGTAGGGGAGGGGTGGCAGCAGGATCCCATTCAGACATCAGAAAGGCCACGGACCTGGCCAGTGGAGCCTACAAAGGCTAAGAGCAAAGGGTGGGACCAAGAAAGGATTTACCTAAAAAGAAACACGCAGACAGGCTTAAGGACTGTCAATGATGGGGTGGGGTCGCGGGTGGGGTGAGGAACATTTACACCACATAGAGAAAGTCGAGTTTGCTTTCATGTGTAAAAAACGTTTTATTAGCCTCCTAGACAGAAGCCTGAGGAAGCTAAGTGATTAAACTGAAATAATAATAACACGACTAACTACCTTTATCACTTCTCCAGTGTCCCTACGCATGGGCCATTGGATTCATTTTGAAAAGTCAGAAATAACTACAGGATACATGTAGACCAATATAGCGCAGACTGGAGCACTGACTTTCCCAAATGAGCCAGTTTGTATTCTTAAAAAAAAATTTTTTTTTGTTCTGTTTTTAGTGTACTAAAAATAAAATGTAAGTTAAAATTATTTTTTTAAGTAAAGCTTATAGGTAAAGGGGAAAGCCCCTGGAGGTGGCACATGGGGCCAGTTCTGTCCCTTAAGCTCTCTAGTTCCTACCTGGGTTTAACGCACCCACTCAAGCCAGAGTCAAAAGTTGTTCGAATGCCTGTTCCTCGAGCTTCCCTTCCCCTGCCTGGCTGCTTCTCGGCCCTGAGGCTGGGAATTCCTGCCAACCAGGTCCGGAGTAGATGCGAGTTTGCCACCTTCGCTCACTTTCTCCGCCCCAAAGGCCCAGCATTTGCCTTTCCCGCCGCTGGACACCAGCTCTCTCCAATAATTCTCTCTTTTCAAGTGTACGTGCGACCTGACCGTTTCCAGGAAACTTATGTGTGGAGTGACCCTCGGCCCCCTCCTGTTTGACCACGTTTGAATCCTCCCCAGTGAGTCCTCCCGCTCATTCACTGGGAGGCCCTGTCCCGACGCCTGTTCCAGACAACCGCGAATCCATGGTCGCTATACATTTGCGCGTGGACATTTCATATTAGTGGAATCACGCAATACGAGGTCTTGGTCACCATGCCTCCGGCTCCTGTGTTACCCAGGTAATAATGCTGTGTAATAAGGCTGTCTTCCACCCCGCTCTCTCTGTGTTTAAGATGCCAATTAACTCTTTTAACCTCTGGATTCATCTTCTAAAAACAAGAATGGTTTCCTAGTTGCCTGTCTTTGGGGGTGTCCTCGCTCCGTAGCAAGCCTGGTCCATGTCTCCAGGTCACCAACTGTCCACAGACTCGCCATGATGGCTGCTTCGTCTCTGCCCAGGACCCATTTATTCATGGCTACTCCCTGTTGATCCAGAAGCTCCACTCTCCCCTTTTTCAATTAAGGTGAAATTCACATAACACAAAATTAACCGTTTTAAAGTGAACAATTCAGTGGATTCGGGTCCCCTTGCAATGTTGTGTAACCACCATCTAGTTTCTAAACATCTTACTCGCTCCAAAATCAAAGCCCAGATTCCTCGGCCGTCACTCCCCATACCCGCCTCCCTGAGCTCCTGGCAACTGCTAATCCACTCCCTATCTCTATGAATTTGCATATTCTGAATATTTCATAAAAATTAAATCATACAGCCTGTGGTCTTTCGAGCCAGGTTTCTTTCGGCATCATGTTTTCAGGGTTCGTGCATGCTGTAGCACACATCGGCACCCCCTTCTCGTTTATGGCTGGGTATGGCTCTCTGTCTTATAGACGCACCACACTTTTTTATTCCTTCATTGATTGATGAACATTTGGGTGGTTTGCACCGTTGAGTGTTGTGAATCGTGCCGCTGTGAACATCCTCGTACGAGGGTTCGTCGGAACCCCTGTTTTCAATTCCCTTGGGTATGGACCTAGGAGTTAATTACCGGATCTTATGGCAAATCCTTGTTTAACTGTTTGAGGAGGTACCGAAATTTTCCCCAGGGCGAATGTATCGTTTTAAATTCTCAACGGCAGGGTAGGAGGGTCCCAATGGCTCCAAAGCCCTGCCAACTCTTGTTATTACCCATTTTTTTTTTAAAGCCATCTGAACTGGGTGTGAAAAGATTTGATTTGTATTTCTCTGATGACTAACAATGTGGAATGTCTTTTCATGTGCTTATTGTCCTGGCCATTTGTATATCTCCTTTGGACCTCCCCTCCTTTTTGAATAGTTAGTTTATATGCCCTAAAATACACGCATTGCAGCTATCATTAAAAGATTTCTAGTGGGTTAGCAGTCATGGCTGTGCGACCATTACGATCCCGTTTTAGAACACCGCGCTCCGCCTTAAAACGACCTTTGTGCAGTCTGCGTCCATTTCTGCCGCAGCCCCAGCATCCAGCATCCAGGTGTCTGCCTAGAGATCGATGGCCCCTCTGTGAGGACTGGCGGAGAACAGTGGGCCCTGGCTGCTGGCAGGATGTGCCTTCTTCTGGGTGGGCACACTCCCCCATCTCCCAACATCCCCATTTAGCGCCTACAGATGGGAAGTCAGATCTGTGGCCAGAGCACCTCACAGGGTGTATTGTGTGGATCCCATTGCATCTTTTTTTTTTTTTTTTACAGTTTATTTTTATTATGGTGACATTGATTAACAACCCATTGCATCTTCACATGGGGGCGGTTACAGCCTGGCTGTCCACTGCCCACTCATGAGTGCCACCCGATAGCCACATTGACACCACACCCTCCATTCACCTGATCGTGTATATAACATAATTCTGGCCGGCTCAGGATTCTCATTATGGGTTGGGAAATGACGTTTTCTGAATTCTAGCATGTAATTATCTGAGCAAGAACTGGCGCCATGTGTTTCTCTGAAATACAGCTCCCCTTGGGAAGGCAGGATCAGTGCAGAATTCTCAGAGCGAGCAAAGCGTCTGGCTTGAAAGTGGCATCGTGTGGTGACATACAGACAGGCTCGTTTTTCTGGCTCTCTCCTTTTTGAGAACCCCGAAGGACTCCAGGGTAGGGTGGATTCATTGTGTGTTGTGTGTCGGTCAATGACAGTCGTCTTTTGTTTCTGCTGCTTGAGTTATATCATCATGCAGATGAAAAAACAAGGGGTTCTAGGGGAAGTAATCTCACAGGTGATCTAATCATAAGTTCCTAGCTGGCCCGTAACTTCTTGAGTGAAAAGTTTCAAGCCAGTCCTGTCCATTGTTGTTGGGAAAAGTTTCAAGCCAGTCCTGTCCATTGTTGTTGGGTTAATACCCCTTTGAAATGCCAGAAGTAACACCCTCAAAGGGGTATTAACCCTCAAGGGAGCACATATTCTTGTTATGTGTCCTGTCATCTAACCCCATCTTGTTTTCCCCAATGTCCCTTACATGTCCCCTCCTTAATTTTAAATACTTAAAAGACGATGGAAATTATTATTCTCCAGAGCCTTTGAGATCTTGCTCCTGGCATAGGTCATCAGTTTGGCTCAAATAAACTCTTTTAAAACTTCTGTACAGGTTTGGAGGGTTCTTACATTGACAATCATGTTTGGCTTCTGTGTCCTTTTAACATGTTCCTGTCATTCTTTGGGCAGTTCATACTTTGCGGCATGAGGTGTCCCGGGCTCACCTGGAACTTTCCCTGTGTGGTCCTGGAGTCAGTCATTGCCTCTGCTTCCTCTCTGCAAGTAAAGGATGAAACTCTGGGCTGCGGACACTTCCTGTCCTTCCTAGGGGCCACAGAATCCTTGGGAAGGCAGCCTATAGAAGGTGAGGGCACCCAGAGTCCAGAGCTGGCTTGGACTCACATAGGCTGTGGAGCTCTGGACAACTCCTACTTTCTGGGGAATCAGTTTTTCCATCTGTGAAATGCAGACGGCAGTAGGCAGAAACATGGCCCCCAGGGATGTATATGTTCTGATTCTAGGGACCTACAAGCACAATCTTATAAGAAAAAACAATCCTAGCAATTGTGATTAAAGACTTTGAAATGGGGAAATGATCCTGAGTTATTTGGGTGAGCTGGGCTGTAGATGTAATTTCACATGCATCTTTGTGAGAGCTAGGCAGAGGAAAATTGGACAGCTGTCAGTCCGCTTGGGTTGCCATAACTAAATACCGTAGCCTGAGGGGCTTGAACAACTGAAGTTTACTTCTCAGAGCTCTGTTGGCCAGAAAGGCCGAGATAAGCTTTCCACGTGGTAGAGTTCATGCCGTGTCCTCTACTGTCGGCTTCTAGGAAGCGGCCCTATTGCTGTGTGATCCCATGAGCTCTGACTGTGACCATAGCGGCTGCTCTCCGGTGTCTTTTCTTGATAGGACACTAATCTCATCATGAGTGCCTCACCCTCATGACCCCACCTAACGTGAATCACATCCCAAAGGCCCCAATCTCCAAATACTACCACATCGGCAGAGTTTCTCCATGTGTATTTTGGCGCGAGCTCGATTCGGTCCACAGCCACGGCACGTGGAGGAAAAGGCACTATGGAAGTGTTAGTCTTGAAGAGTGACGTGATGCAGCCACAGTCCAGAACCCCCTGGAACCACCGGAAGCTGAAAGAAGCAAAGATTCTTCCCTAGAGCCTTTGGAGACAGTGTGGCCTGCCTACACTTCGATTTCGGAATTCTGGCCTCCAGGCCTATGAATTTCAACTTTGTTTTTAGCCATCAAGTTTGTGGTGAGATGTTACAGTCGCCGCGGGAAACCGATGGAGGAATGGTAGTGATCTCGAAGGGTGATTTAGAGAGTCTAGGGCATTCACTGTCTTGTCTGCATGAAAGCGTCTCTTCTTTCCATCTCCCACCCCCAATTCCCCACCTAGAACCCCTAAAAGAGGAATCGGATCCTGCCATTCCTCAGGACAATTGAAGAACCACCTGGCTAAAAGCCACGTGTTGTGTGCACAGCAGCACACGCAGGAGAGAGACCCGAGGGCAGTCAAGAGAAGAATGTTTAAACAAACTAGGGTATTTGTACGATGGGGCCCACACGACAAGGACCACACACACAGTCACAAGGATGTGCACTCAGGGAAAGAAGCCAGACACTGACACGCACCCCCCGAGCGGTTCCATGTACAGGTCAGCAAAGCTTGTCTGTGGTAGGAGAAGTCAGGATTTCAGTGGCTGGGAGGGGAACGGAGGGCTCCCGGGAGCCAGAGACGGTCCAGTTTTTTGCTATCAGAGCTGATCGTGCAGGGTGCTTGTCTGTACAACGTGCGTGCTTTCTCTACATATTATTAGCCTTCCGCAAAAGGTTAAAAAGTTCATAGAAACAGAAGCTGACTGGTGGTTGTCAGGGGATGGTGGGAGAGAGAACGTGGCGTGTTGATTGATACAAGCTTTCCTTTCCAGGCGAAGAATATTTTCTGGATCTAGATGGAAGTGGTGATTGCACCACATACTGAATGTATAAAATGCCAGCGAATGTATAAAATGCCACTTTAAAATATGACGAATTTGATGTCATGCGAACTTTAACCGCGTTTTAAAAAAAGCTTTAAAAGTAGGAGCTTGAAAACCTGGCAGGCTCGGGACAGTCAACTCTCTACGCACTTGTTTGCTGTTTGCCCTTTCACACATTTACCCTACTTGGGGGCGGAGGGGATGGTAAGGCTGGGCCAGCATGGCAGATGCAGCAGTCAGCACAATTTACAGCTCTTTGTGTTTCTCCGTACAGAAATGTGAAGGAAGAGAGGGACCAGGCAGACAGAGAGGCGAGGAAAACATTCTGGGCAGAGAGAACATCAAATATAAAGGCCCTGAGGTGAGAACGACAGGTTGACCTATGTGGCTGAGGGGCGAGGTCAGAGGTCAGCAGGGATAGACCTCAGGGGTCTCATCCAAATCTGATTTTATGTGTGTGGTAAAATGCACGACAGGAAATTTCCATTTTAACTTTTTTTTTTTCCATTTCAACTATTTTTAAGTGTGCAATTCAGTGGCCTTAAGTACATTCACGACATTGTGCCACTATCACGACTGTCTAGTTCCCGAATAAAATCTGTGCAGAGGAAGAGATTGGAATGATGCAGCCACAAGACCTCCCTACGCAGTGGCTTTGGGGGTGACAACTGAAGGTTGGAAGGAGAGCCAGGCGCAGGCGTGTAGTGTGGGGGAGTGAAGATGGCCGCCTGCAGGCAAGTGCCCAAAGGAGCAGTGGGCAGACCTTGGATGCTCGTGTCACCATCTGAGTGATTCCTGTCCATTGTTTCATCCCTCTAGTCCTGTCTGCACAGCTAGGGTATGGACAGTTTCTAGTGGTCCAGGACTGGGAAGGGGGAGATGCTGTAAATGGTAGCCAAGGAGCATATGGGTAAGAGCGCAAGGTGACAATGACTGCTGTCTGGCCTACCGGGGGCACAAAACCGAGATGTACCTGTGTCCTGCCATGTACCTCTGGACCTCTGCATAGGCTGGCTGTGCAGAGAGGACCTCCGAGCCAGGGTTCTGCCCTGGCCTTGCCCTCCTGTATGCCCACTCTAGCTCAGCAGGTCTTGGGATGCCCTTTGTGCTCCCCTGAGTCTGCCTGAGCCTGGTTTCCAGTCGATTCCCCCTCTCCCAATGCTGTCTTGTCACTTCCAGAAGCCTTGGTTTCCCCATTTGGACAAGGGGGCTGACGATGGCCCAGCACGGGGTGGCATGGAGACTCTCTAAGGTCTGCTGCTGGCACCCTGCTTCTGTGGCTGCCATTTCCTGGGAAAGAAGGTCCTGGACCCAGGAGATGGAAGGGGGTACCGTTTAGAGAGAAGCGCATGGGCCTCGGCAGGCCTTCGCAACCACAGGACCAGTTGCTAGAGTCTAGTGAAGGGCCTGTCACCGAGGGCAAGCCTTGGGCACTGCCCACCGCTCCTCACTTCACTGCTCGCCGTGTGGCCGGCAGCCCCAGGGCCTTTGCACTTATTTCTGCTTGAACTGTCCTTCCTGCGGGTGTCTGGGGGCAGCCCCTAGGGGAGTCGACTCCTGCACTCTACCATTGCGTACTTATTGACTCTGGTCCCTGACACTTCCCTGTCTGCCCCAGGGTCGCGCCTCTCTCCCGTGAACTTGGGGCCCAGTACAGGATAGGGTCGTCGACAGGATCCAGCAACTACTACTAAAGTAGTAATAGTGACGCCACACCTCACCCTGTGCGCGGGCAGCTACCAACTTTCCTTCCCAATTTTCAGAGGAAGGAAGGGTCCGCAGCTAGGGCCTGGGGACGGGAGGCGGTGGCTCAGAGGGGGCGTGGCTCGCCGGACGCAGCCGAGGGGGCGGGGCGGCGCTGGGATTCGGGGGCCGCGCCAGCGCTGGAACAAAGGCAGGCGCGGAGACAAAGCCCCGCCGCCCCCAGCCCGGGCTGAAACAAAGGCCACGCCCGGCCCTCCTGGGCCTCACCGGCCTCCGCCGCCACGTGTGGGCGCCTGAGGAGCTGGATGGGGGCGTGTGCGAACCGGGGAGACTTGGAGCAGGGTCTTGGGGGTGTACGTAAGGCTCTGTATCCTCTCGAGAGCTGACCCCCCCAATCCTGCTTCTCTCAGAATTCCGCCACCGTCGAGGGGCGGTGCGCCCACCTGGAAAAGCATGCAAGTCAGCACAGCTGCTGGCTAAAGGCGGGAAGGGGCGCTTGGGGGACCAGGCGCAATCTCAGACTCGCTTCTCTGTAGCTCGTAGGGACCTATTTGAGTTGAGTAGGTTGCAGTGTTTGTCACGTTAAACAAAAGGTGAAAGCCGAAAAGTCTGCCTGCCGGCTCAGACTGGAACTTCCCTCTGGGATGCGGTGCCTTCCCCCACCTCCCCCGCCCGGCGCCCCCGCCAGGTCTCGGCCCGCCCC